GCATCGGCAGGCGGACTCTCAAGCACTGCGCCACCAGGGAAGCCCAAGCACGAATGATTATTATAACTAAGGAAGCAGGTAGAAAAGGTTGGAGCCCAGAGTCAGACTGGGAACTCAGATCAGGGCTGTAGCTCCAAGAGTCAGCACAGTGTAATGGATAAGTCTTGTGAGCTCTTGTTCCAAACTGGATTCCAATCTGGGCCACTAGCTGTGTGACTTTAGGCAAGTTGCCTAAATCCTGTGGACCTCAGTTTCCCCACCTGTAAAATGGGGATCAATAATAGTACCTATGCCATGTGATGGTTGGGAGGACTAAATAAATCAATTTTCATAAAACCGAGTGAGTGGCATATAGTGCATGTTCGACAGACGTTAGCTATTGCTACTGGGTTGGCCAAAAGAGTTAGTTCGGGTTCTTCTGTACCATCTTATGGAAAAACCCAAAGGAACTTTTTGGCCAACTCAATATAATAGAAAAATACTAGGAATTTATAGACAGTTTTCATGTAAAACATCTATAAATGAGAGAATAGGAAAAGTGGGTTGTTTCTTGCTCCTTTGGACATCTTCCCTGGTCAGTTTTTCGCTAGTTGGTTCTCTTGCCTCAAGTGTTGCAAATGTCTATAAAGAATTTAAGAGAACCAGGAACTTATAAGTTGAAGCAGAAAAAATTAACATCAAAGCTGGACTTTTAAAGCCACTGTAGGGAAGCAGAGTGACCCTGGAACTGGTAGCCAGACAGGTGCTGGTTCTACTTGGCCACGTAATAGCTGCGTAATCCTGGGCCTCAGATTCTTCCAGCCCTCTGCTGCCTCATCCATCAAAGGGCAATAAATGCTCACTTCACAGGCTTGCCCAAGGACCCTAATGAGAAAATGTATCATGAAATGATACTGTCAACTCTACTGTGCTGAGTAAATATAACTACCTCTGCCTTAGACTGCCTGGCCCCAACTGTGTGTTTTGTTTGAACAAGTGATTTTTATCTCCCCTCCAATCCGCTATCTTGCTATTCAATATCACTCCCCAGGACCACCTTCCACTTGTATTCACTCAGCAGTTAGGAGAGTATTAGAGGTGGAGAGAGGATGGAATCTAGATGGCAGTAGTTCCAGCCTCCCGGGCGTGTGAGATACTGTGAGTCCATCCATTCCAGCGGGCCGCCAGCCCCCCACTTCCTGCCTATCGTGCACATGAGCTTCTAGAACCCCTGGAGAGCTACCCATGAGCCAGTGGGTCTCAACCTTGGCCGCCCATGAAAATAACTCGGAGAGCTTTTCTTAAAAAAACTACTGCTTAGGCCCAAATCCCAGCGATTCCAATTCAACTGGTCTGGGGTGAGGCAGGCATCAGTCTGTTTCAATAGCTCCCAGGTGGTTAAATGTGCAGGCAGGGCTGAAAATCTGTGAGGGTGATAGAGAGTCTGCTCTCTTGGGTGCCCAGGGCCCTCTGATCTCCACCCTATCCTCCCCTGCTTTTCATGTCCCTTCCTGTGACCTGGCACAATGATGGGACCTCCGGGCTCTCAGAAAAATTGGCTGACCCTATTAGGGTCACACTACAAAGTCAAGTCCAACACCTCAGTGCCAAACATCTTTATTATGTGACTTTGAAGCACAGGACACTGAATTCTTGGAATGCTTAAATAATAGGAGATCTGCACACACACCTCCAACCTCAGCTGACCCTGCTCCTCAAATATACTTTCCTGAAGGAGGTGAATGAGCTCAACAACCTCTGAGGAAGCTCATTTTTTAAAAGAAAACTCCACGCACACATCTTCTTACTCTGATGAGCCAACCAACCTGTGAACTAATACTACCCTTATCTGGAATGAAATGCAAAAGTCAGATGCTGGAAAAGAAAGGTTCACATGTACATCGCAAAAAGCCCTGGAGTTAGTTATAACACAGCCTGCGGACTTCTGTAATATGCTGTGACATCACAACGTCATGACATATAACAATAATTATGTCAATAATAATGGCATAAAGTTATTATGTGATAATTCCTTGGGTGATATATTCAGCTCTCAGTTGTGAGAATGAAACCTTTCTCCCACTCTTTACCCCCCATTTAGGAAAGAATAAAAGTAAATGAAGACACCCTGAGCAAAACCACACTGCAAAACTTAGGATCAAATGAAGTAAGAAACAACTGCCTTACTTCATTTACAGATTTACAAAATTCAGGACTTTTAAAGTACTTATTATTTTGAAACTATAATTCAAGAGTGTATGAAACAAGAGAGAGAATGTGTTTATTTTTGTCCAAATTTTGAAAAATTTTACTTAAAGCTTTTCATATTATAAAGAAAGTACTTATTCTTAATTTTTTTCCAAAGAGGGTGTAAAAAAATTCCCCCTTGCCCCACCAAACCTATTCCCTAGAGATGATCATAGAACTATTTAGTCTCCCAGATTTTTCTCTATACCCCACCTCACCTCCCCACATGTACATATACACGTATCTTTTTTTTTTTTTGCGGTATGCGGGCCTCTTACTGTTGTGGCCTCTCCCATTGCGGAGCACAGGCTCCGGACGTGCAGGCCCAGCGGCCATGGCTCACGGGCCCAGCTTCTCCACGGCATGTGGGATCCTCCCGGACTAGGGCACGAACCCGCGTCCCCCGCATCAGCAGGCGGACTCTCAACCACTGCACCACCAGGGAAGCCCTACACGTATCTTACAGATGTTACATATGCGATATACATAAGCACTTTTTTTTTTCAAAAATAGAATCAGGCTATACATAATATTCTGCATTTGCTGTATTCACTTAACAACATGTTGTGGAAATATCTTCATATCAGTACATATTATCATTTGGCTGAATAGTCTGACACTCTGAATTTACAACAATGTATTAATTCATTTAACATATAACATGAACAGGCATTATTCTAGGGCTGGGGATTCAGACCAGCTCCACTCATGGACAGGAAGGATACTTAATGATTAAGAGCATGGGTTTTGGCACCAGACTGCCAGGGTATGAATTCTAATTAT